AATCACACCCACTCCTGTTATGTAGTGCATGCCCTTGCTAATGAGTTGATTTTCTTTTGGGAAATCATACCTGTATATTTTATCTTTTTAACAATTCATCTGCACATGCTGTTATCTTTTTTTCCCCTCACCTGACTACATACCTTGAACATCCTTCTAGGCCATTCAATATTTTTCTATCAAGAGATGTCAATGGCTTCTCAGTATTCCATAAATAAACCATTGTTTATCTAGCCAGCCTATTGATTGCTGGACATTTCGTACCTCACTCCCGACCTTGTTTGACTCCTGCCTGTGCCACTAGATAGCTGTGTGATAACAAGAAGAGTCACTTCCGCTTTCTGAGCCTTGCTTTGCTCATCTGTCCACTGATCCCAATGCCCTTGGGCACTGCTTTAAAGATCCATGAGCTGACGCATCATGCAGTGCTTGGCACAGTGCCTGGGCCCCATCCCTGAAGTGTTTTCTCAATGTCACTTTTCAAAGGCTTTTCGGCTCCATCTTTGCCCTCTTGTTCAGGAGTGCCTGTTTCATCCCAGCCACCATGATAGGTGGCTCCAGGGTCTTCTCATCCCTGTCATCCTCAGTGCTTGTGTCTCTTCCAGTTCCCTGCAGCAGGGCAGGGGTGAGAGCTTGTGCGCGGGACCAGCATCTAGTGGTGACCAGGCTAAGATGACCAGACTGGCTTGTTCTGTGGCTGGTTTGATTTTAGGTCAGATCTGCCACGGCAGAGCCTTTGGGAATTATCATGATGTCAGTTTCCTGGGCCATTGGGAACAGCTCCCAGCCTGCCTCTTTCAAGGTGAGCGTGAAGGTCTGCTCAGGTCCCCAGGCACATGCCAAGCCATGTGCTCCCACCTTGACATCCAGAGATGTGACCCTGCAGGACAGCACTATGGTCCAGGAGCCTCGAATACTCCCACAGCCATCTTTCCAGAGCCGTCCCTGAGTGAGGGTCTGGCCATAGCTGCACTAGACCAGCTGGGAGAGCCCGGTTTCTCATCCAGCCCTCTCCGTGTCCAGCCACTGGCGTGACTCTTCACAGTGCTTGCTTCCGTGCAGGAGGAAAGGCCGAGGCCCAGGGCCCTGATTGCAAAAGAAGCTGCTCAGCTGAGCGCTTCCAACAACCGGAAAGCAGACCCTGGATGACCCGGAGTAGAGGACGTGCGGGGAGAACTTACATGCGCATGTGCACACACGCTTGCGTTTCCTCACATGCTCTCCCACACTCCCTCCCTCCGGAGCATGCCGCAACCACTCACACAGCCTCACACAGCTGCCCTGCGCCTGTGCCAAACAGCAGTTGATCCAACCCAGCTCATGTCTTTGGTTCTGATGTTCTGAGAAGGCAAAGACAGGTGGATTTGGGTTGAGAGATCGCTGGTGCCAGGCTTCAGTGTTTCTTTTCCAATTATGACTCCATAGTAAACTTTCAGTTTTCCCTGCCCCACAAGGGGTGAGGGAGTAGAGTGTTTGCAGCAAACAAGAAATGAGATAGAGGTGAGGAGTGATGGTGCATACCTGTAATCTGTAACCCCAGTGCTCTGGGAGGCTGAGGCAGGAGGATTAAAGGTTTAAGGCCCAGGCTAGGCAATTTAGCTATTTAGCAAGACCTTGTATCAAAATAAAAGAAATAAAAAGGGCTGGAGATATAGCTCAGTGCAAAGGCCCTGGGATCAATGGCCAATACTGAAAAGAAAGAAAGAAAGAAAGAAAGACAGACAGACAAAGGAGACCAAGGTCTCCCACCTCTGTGTGACTGCCCCATGCGCAGGCCTCTGAATGTACAGAGATTCTCACCTCCTGTTGACCTGCAGAATAACCATAGGAGGCCACAGTGCTGGGAGAGGTGTGGACAGGTCGTGGGAGAGAAGCAGGATTGTAGATGCGCCTTGAAGCACTGAGATCTCATCAGGAAAGACTTCGACACCCCTCACCCCCTGCTATGGTCGGAATGTGTCCCGCAGAGTTCACGTGTAATCTGCAGCGCAGCAGGGCTGGGCCGTGGGGCCTAGCAGAGGCTTGGGTCCTGAGGGCTCTGTGCTAGCAAGCGGGTCACTGTTGTCACAGCTGGAGCGGGCAGTCAGCCTGACAGCTGGCTTGTTACAAGTGTGAGTTCAGCCCCCTCCTCTCTCACCTGAGACTCTCCCGCCATCTTCTGACACAGCAAGAAGCCCTCCCCTCATTCACCCGCCCCGAATCTTGGACTTCGCAGCCTCTAAAATTGTAAGAATAAATCTCTGCATGTTATAAACTACCCAGTCTTGGGTATTCTGTTATAGCAACACAAATTTGGCTGAGACACCCTCCAAGTCTGAAACCAGCACAGAATCAGTATTGAGGCCTTTACAATCTAATTATGGTTAGATTATTTCTACTTAGATTATCAAAATCTAAAATCTAATTTAATTCCACAAATATTTATTGAGGTCCTACTCTGTGTGGATGCTAAGGAGAAGGAAAAATTCCCCTGGGCTGTGATCTCTCCAGGGAAGAGCAGGAGCCCTCGGATGTATGTTTCCCTTGAGTTTCTCTGATTCAGGGCCTTCTTAAATGGGTGGTCTCTTGGGGAACATCCATCAGTGAGGAGGTGGCTGTAGGACGTCTGTCCCTCGTAGCTCAGTCACAGACTGGCTGGGTGACCTTGACTGTCTCATTGAACCTCCTTGCACCCTAATTTATTAATTAGTTAATTAATTAATTGGTTTTTTGAGGCAGGGTCACATTACGTAGTTCAAGCTGGCCTTGAATTCACTATGTAGTCCAGGATGTCCTCAAACTCTTGGCAATCCTCCTGGCTCAGCCTCTCAGAGGCATGGTGCATACCCATAATCCCGGCATTCTGGGAGGCTGAGGCAGGAGTATTGCTAAATTTAAGCACAGCCTGGGCAATTTAGCAATTTATCGGGAACCTGGCCCCAAAAAGGGATGAAGGGTATGTGCCGGGGATGTAGCTGAGTGCAAAGATCCTGGGTTCAATCCCCGGTACTGAAGAAAAGACTTTGTCCTTTGTCCCTGGTAGAAGAGAGGGCAGCCACAGATGACGGTGTGTGGTGAGTGCAGAGTGGCTGGGATCACCTTGCCCTGTCACTTGAGACTTACCTTAAGGGGCACCGACAAATGGTGGGGTCTGCCCTGTCAACAGCTGGTCCAGACTAAGCCCTTTTCTGGCTCTTGTGATGATTTTTTGGCTGCTTCTTGGTCTCTGGCTGCAGCGTGGTGGTTCTCAACCTGGGATGATTTTGTACCCGAGGTCAGGTGTCGGCGTCTGGAGACAGTGTCAGCACAGGAACGAATGGCAACCAGTGGGTAGAGGCCCAGGCTACTGAACACCCCACGATACCCAGGGCTGCTCACACCAGCTGGCCCCGGTGTCTTTAGGGCTGAGGTTGAGAAACCAGCTGTAGTTAATCAAGCTTGTAAGTTTGAAGCAAGAAAAGGGAGAATCCAGCCCCGGTGTCTGCTCTCAAGAGTCAGGAGCTTTGTGAGCCTGACTTAGGTTTGATTTGGGCTCAGCAACTGGACTTCTGACTCCATGGCCCTAACAAGGCCAGAGAAGTACTGGTGACAAGGCCGGCAAGAGGAGTGTCCACATGTACGAGAGACCCTTCCCTGGGACACTGAGCAGGGCTCTCTGGTGCCCACAGTGTGGCTACCTCCCATCTGGCTGGACCCTGGCCTGCTCCTGGGCTTTTGTGTCTTCTCTGTTTGGCCACTGCATCCTGGCACCTTTGGCTTCTGCTCTTTGGTGCCCGATTCCCCACACGTCACTCCGCTCCGTGATTTGCCTTTGATTCTGCATCCTGTCCCTGTGCCTCTTGGCTGGTCCACAGCCAGGCACAGAGAACAATAGGCCCTCTTTCCTCCTTCTGGGTTCTCTACACTGCTGTACCAAACAAGGGGTCACACTGGGGACCTCTGCCAGTGAGGCTTTACCATATTTGGTTTGGGAATGCGCCATATGCTGCTGTATCTGAGGTGCCAGCACCCGGATCTTGGCTCGGGCTTGCTCATTCCAAACTTCTTAGGACTTCTTTGGGAGTGATAGAAATCAACTCTGGCTGGATGAAGCAAAACAGGAAATCTATTGGAAAGACCCCAGAGGTACCTCGAGAATTCCAGGACAGAGCTACTGCTGGGCTTCAAGGTGGACTGAATCCTGAGACAGGGCATTTTTGGGGCACAGACTGTCCTCCCTCCCCCTCAACCCTCCATTTCCTGCCACTCCCTCCCCACTTGTAGCCCCGCCCTCTGGGACACGCTGGACTTGGGGTTGATAACTTCCAGTGAACACAATAGCAGCAGGGTGGCATGTCCTTCATGCCAGGGAGCAGCCAGCCTCGCCCAGCACCTCTTGGTCCTGACTCAACATTCCTGGGAAGGACCTCGATTGTAGGATGCAAACAAAACACACTGTTTCCATGGTGACATTCATATCAGTGGCCAAGGGGGATGCTGAAAGAGCTGTTGTCAGAGATGCAGAGGGAGGGCCACTGTTTTGGAAAGTGAGCTGGGAAGCTGGGATGAGTTGAAATGAAATCAGATACTCAGAGTCCAGGGTGGGAGGGTTTGGCTTAATCCTATTCCATTGAACATACTTTTAGAAGAAATTTCTATAGCTCCTCCCCTGAGCAGCTCCCCTTCTAATGTGGGTATCAGACAGACCCCGAAGGAAAGCTATGGTACCTAGTCGGGCTTTCCAAAATCCAGGGCTATAGGCAGAAGGCCCTGCAGGTAACAGGGCGAAGGGATGGCAGGCCTGTCTCCGTCAGTCAGGTTAGCTCAGGGAGAGCTGAGCGGGGCAAGCAGCATTGGAGCTGAGGCTCAGAGGACGGAAGACAGACAGGAGGCTGACATGCAGGTGACTACAAGGGCCCTACCCCAGGAGGATTTCTCCCCTTTTCTCCTTTCTTGTCAGCCCCTGGCTTAGTTTCCTATGACTGTTGTAACAAGCTGCCACAAGCTCAGTGGCTAAAATAACACATTTTATTCTTTTATAGTTCTGCAGCTCAGAAATTAAAAATGGATCTTCCAGAGCGGAAATCATGAGAGAGAATCCATTTGGGCAGTGGAGAATCTGGAGCCTGGCCTTTTCCGGTTTCTGGAGGTCGTCTCCATTCCTTGGCTTGTGGTCCCAAAGCCCATCATGTCACTGCAACCCGTGCTTTTCTTGATCTACCTCCTTCCACCTTTGACCTCGTCTCTCTCTTTTAAGGTAAGGACCTATGTGATTACTCTGGGTTCACTTGGATCACCCAAGACAATCTTCTCATTGCAAAATCCTTAACCTAACCGCTAGCAAAGTCCCTTTGCCGTGTAAGGTAGCATCTGCACAGGCTCTGGGGATCAGGATGCAGACATCTGTGGTGGCCACTGTTGGGTCTCCTCATCCTCTTAGTTCCCTTCTGCACTGACGGGATAGCCTGGGGACAGCAAGACACTCCTGGGACAGGAACTGCTGGGTGGGGGGAGCTGGCAGGGGATGTGCAGCTAGGGCTCCACTTCTCCCTTCTCCTGCTGGATTTATTATTTTTGTGGTATTAGGTGTTGAACTCAAGGCCTTTGCACTGAGCTGCATCCCTAGCCCTTTAAAAAGTTTTTTTATTTCGAGACAAGTTCTCACTAAGTTCCCAGGCTGGCCTTGAACTTGTGATCTTCCTGCCTCAGCCTCCAGAGGAGCTGGATTTACAGGGATGTACAATCACGCTGTGCTGGATTTAGACTGCTGGAATTTGAATCCTTGTGATCTTGGCTCTTTAGCCTCTCTATGCCTCTGTTTCCTCGTCTGTGTATGGGTCATGATGCCACGCCTCTCTCCCTAGGCCCCAGTCTCTCCAGCTTCCTAAGGGTTATGTAGGAAGGAAACTGGAGACATTTCCAACTCTGCAATTATGAATCCCTCTGCTGGGAGCACCAACCACCCCAGCTCCTCTCCTCTTCCAAGGGGAGCACAGGTTACTGGAAAGTCCCCCTTGCCTGCCACAATTGTGAACCCCCGGAGGCAGCTCCCCAGGCTCTGGGAGGAGGAAGCACAGTACCCAGAGCTCCAGGCAAAGGGCCCATTGTCCCCTCAGTTGCAGAGGCACCCAGGGCTCTGTGTTCCCTCCAGCTGCTTTAGAAAAAGCCAGTATAGCAGAGCCCTGGAGCGAGCAGGTCCAGGAGGAAAGGACTCCAAGCTTGTTGAATCCAGGAGGGGAAGAGTCAGAACCCTCAGGAAACACGCACCAATGCCCATCACACACATGGGCAAATGGGGGCGTCAGAACTCATGAACATCTCCTGGGGTCACGGGAGCAAGGAAGTGAGGCTGCACTCGGAGTCGGGGGTCTGCTTGGCCAGCCTTGCCCCCAAAGTGGTGGCCTCAGCCCTGCTCCGGAGCTGCCATCTGTAGCAGTCTTCTGTCTGAAGAAGCTTTGGAAACTGCAGGTTGCTTCACCAGTGCCACTCTGTCTTCTTTCCCAGTGACACCATTGCTTTATTTGAGAGAGCAGTGTATCCAGATTTAAACAGATTTTAAAACTGTAAGAGTATAAAAGATGGCTTCTGCTCCTTTGCAACTTGGGAAGACCACATCATGCATTCTAGCTCATGTGACATAAGCAGAAGTCTGTCAGACAGTATTGGGAAAATTTTATTTCCTTGACACTTTCCTTTTGTTTTTTTTCCTGCCTGGAGAGTTGGCTGGAGGCTTTCACACTGAGCTACATCCCCAGCTCTTTTTATTATTTTATTTTGAGACAGGATCTCACAGAGTGGTCAAGTTCCCCAGGCTGGGCCTGAATTTGTAATCCTCCTGCCTCAGCCTCCTAGAATGTTGGGATTCCAGGCATGTGCCACCACACCTGGCTTGACATTTCCCTTAAATACAGGAAGGACATCTCCAGAAAGGGGTTTAGATTTCTCCTGGGACAACTATGGACTTCGGGAGGGGTGGGGAAACAGAAAGGAGGTCAGGTGGATGGAGGCAGAACCTCCTCACTATGTGCTTGGTTCTTGGCTCAAAGGAAGAGTGGGCCAGAGGCAGCTCTCACCAGTGGCAGGGTCAGAGCAGGAATTAGGTGGCCCCAGGTGGGGCCAGGTGAAGAGATGTTGGCATCAGTGAGGGCTGCGTGATGTAGCTGAGGGTGTAAGTGGGTCCAGAATGTCATTGCTGTGGGCCTTTTCTATGCATAAGGGAAGGAGCTGCCCTTGATAAAATAAGTCCTGGCACCAGGTGAGCCCAGCAGGAGTGCATTCCCTGCCATTTCCATCGGCCAAGATGCCACCAGAGGCCAAGACAGTGACTCTTCCTCATCTTGGACTAGAACCTCCCAAACTGTGAGCCAAAATATGCCCCCGGCCCGCCTCTCTTTTTGAGACAGGATCTTGCTGTGTAGTTCAGGTTGGCTTTGAACTATGAAGCCCAGGCTGGCCTTGAACTCACAGAGCTCCTCCTCCTGCCTCAGTCTCCTGAGGACTGGGAGGCACCACCATGCCTGGCTAAACCTTTTCTCTTTATAAGTTAATTATCTCAGATGTTTTGTTATAATAAAAGAAAGCTGACTACCACACCCTCTTTGAGCCTCAGTTTTCTCTTTGGTACTAAGAGGGGAGTTACCAATGTGTCAGCTCAAAATGTGGCAGGGCAGGAGACTCTCTGAGGGTCCTCAGCAGGGGTGCTTTTAGGAAATTCTGATTCCTAGGTGCTCTCAGGGACCCATGGATAGTGGTGTGACCCTAGGTCATTGCGCTTTGCCACATTCACTTGGGTGACTGATACAGCTAGCGGGGTGCCCTGCTGGAAGGCCCCTTGGGCATCACTGGAAGGGCAGGCTTCTGAGGAACCTTCTAGCTCTTAATTCCTCAGGAAGAGGACTCTGAGTGGAACAGGAGAATGGACAGCAGCGGCGAGATCTGCCATTGAAACCAGGGAGATGCGGGGTGGAGCAGGTGTGGGTGCCTGGGAACAGTGGGAGTGGGGTCACTCAAAGGGCTGGGAATGGCTGTCTGTGCAGGGGGCCTGGGCCTGAGCAGGCTGCACACTCCCTTCTTGTCTGCTTACTCCCTTCTTGTCTGCTTTCTGTAGGTTTTTAATTTGTTTTGTTTTGTTTTTTACTTCGTGCATGTACAATTAAAAAAAACAAAAAAACATGTTTTAAAACAAAAAGCAAAAAATTTTAGTACTTGGCAACAGAACCAGAGAAAAGGAGAGGAGTCCTGTGCTCCTTCCTTTCCCAGGGCTGTCACCTTCCCATGGCTGGGTCTGTTTGTCCCCCCTCCACCTCCTGCAGGGCCTGGAGCCTACTGGGGCAGGGATGAGAAGCATGGACAATGGCCCAGTGCCTGGGAGCCTCAAAGCCAGGAGGCAAAGATTCTACACACAAAAAGAGGGGGCAGAAAAGCAGCCCCAGAGCAGCGGGATGGGGAGAGCTCCAGGAGGAGGCTCTTGCTTCATTCATTCCATAGCACAAAGCCTGGCGCCCAGTTATTATTTTTTAATTGGGTAGATTGCCAAATGAATGGTGAGGTCCTAGAGTCCTGGAGGAGACAGGGCTGGGACCTGGTGACAAGGAGGGCTTGTGGAGGAGGACAGTTCCAAGGTGGACTGCTAAGGTGGCAGAGCTGAGCAGGGTCAGGTGCACTGCAGGGGTCGGAGGTGCCCTGTGAGCCCTGGCCCCCCAGGGGCACATTTGGATGTAACGTGTTGACAGAAAGGCTGCTGAGGCCCAGATGAGAAGACATCTGGAGCAGAGCTTCTCCAACTCTGGTCAAGGGCCAATTGCTTCTTTTTCTTTCTGATTTATAATCAATTACAGGCTGGTTCTTTCATAAGAGAGAATCCAAAAGAATTGCTGGAAAAATGAAAGGAAAAAGAGACATACAAAATCTAAACCTCGATTTTTATTTTTTCCACAGTACTAAGGTTGAAACTCAGGGCCTCCCACATTCTAGGCACATACTCTACCACTGAGCTACATCCCCAGGCCTTTTTCTTTTCTTTTTTTGGTACCAGGGATCGAACTCGGGTCCTTGCACTTGTGCAGCAGGCGGTGAAACCACTGAGCTAAATCGGCGGACCTCCAGGCCTTTTTCTTAAACATTTATTTTTGGACAAATTCTCTCTAGCCCAAGCTGCTCTGGAACTTGGAATCCTCCTGTCTCAGCCTGCCACGTAGCTGGAGTTATAGGTGTGCACCACCATGCCTGGCTCCAGTTTTTTATTATTAAAGTGACATAAATCATTCCACCCAATTACAAGAGAAGTATCTAAATGCTTCCTGTTGTTTTCTGACCTTATCTCCTTCCAGACCTGCAGCAAGCTCTTCTCAGAAGGGTGGAGGCTGCACTGAGCAGCCCTGTGGTAGAGAACCCCTGACAGCAGGATGCTGCAGCACTCAGAGAAGGGGTCCAGTCCTTTGGAATCCCACCCATATCCCCTGCCTGCCCTGGGCTTGCTCATCCCCATGGAATGGCTTTATTTCTGCTAGGAGGGGCTCCTGGGTAGGGGCAGCCAGGGTGGGCTCTGCGGCGTCATCTCGGTGTGTCAGTGACTCCTGGTGATCCTCCTGTGTTTGTCCAAAACTCTCGAGCAGAAGCCGAGCATGACAAGGAGGCTTGGGGTAGGGAAATGGAGGCCAGCACAGCCTCAGTTTCTCCCCTCTTCTCCTCAGCAGTTTGGCTCTGCCCAATGTGCTGAGCCCTCTGCTTCAATGCCCTGCAGCTGTTGGGGTGCAGTCTATTAACTTGCTTCCCTACTGTGGTGGGGAGGACAGGATGGGGAGGACATAGAGGAGGAGGGAAAGGAGGAGGTGGGACAGAGGGAAGAGGAAGAGGAGGAAAAGAGGATGAGGGCGAGGGAGGCAAGGAGGAGAAAGTAGGGAGAAGTAAGTGGGGAGGACAAGGAGGAAGAGGAGAAGCAGCACAATAATAACTTCTCTCTACTGACCTGCTCAGCACTTTATATGCAGCATCTTGCCTAATTTTCTCAGTACTGGGAAAGACGTGTGAATGTTGCTCCCATTTTACAAATAAACAATGGCTCAGTTTTTTGTTTTTTATAGTTCTTCTGCTCTACTATATTATCTCTCTCCATGGCTATTTTTATTTATTTATTTATTTATTTTTATTAGTACACGTTTGCAGTATGTAATGTTTGAGACAGAGTCTCCCTATGTAATTCAGGCTGTGTAGCCCAAGCTGGCCTTGGACTCACAGTGATCCTCTTGCCTCAGCCTC